TGAGTACAGCCATACTTGAGCAATATTTAAGTAGCAGGGGAAAAAATGATACTTTGAAATGATTAGCACAATCTTAATTTTGGAAAATACTACAAGCTTGAAAGTGAAAGTGAAGTCACTCAGTCACATCCAACTCTCTGCAACCCCAAGTCTCCATCCATGGGACTTTCCAGGCAAGAGTACTGGAGTGGGTTGCCATTTCCTTCTCCAGAGGATCTTCCTGACCCAGGGATCGAACCCAGGTCTCCCACATTGTAGGCAGACACTTTACTGTCTGAGCTACCAGGGAACTTCCCACTACAAGCTTAAAGAGATCTAATTGGTGTGTCAAACAGCTCCCCTCACCCTCTTGCCTCAGGCAGGTAACAGCAAAGAGTTATTTAAGGTCATGTAAACAATAATGATCATAGCAAACACCCTCTTCTGACAACACAGGAGAAGATTCTACACATGGACATCACCAGATGGTCAATGCCGAAATCATACTGATTATATTCTCTGCAGCCAAAGATGGAGAAGCTCTATATAGTCAGCAAAAACAGGACCGGGAGCTGACTGTGGCTCAGATCATGAACTTATTGCCAAATTCAGACTTAAATTGGAGAAAGTAGAGAAAACCACTAGACCATTCCAGTATGACCTAAATCAAATCCCTTACGATTATACAGTAGAAGTGACAGATTCAAGGGATTAGATCTGATAGACACAGTGCCTGAAGAACTATGGACTGACATTTGTGACATTGTACAGGAGGCATGGATCAAGACCATCCCCAAGAAAAAAAAATGCAAAAAAGGCAAAATTGTTGTCTGAGGAGGCCTTACAAATAGCTGAGAAAATAAGAGAAGCAAAAGGCAAGGGAGAAAAGGAAAGATATATCCATTTGAATACAGAGTTCAAAACAATACCAAGGAGAGATAAGAAAGCCTTCCTCAGTGATCAATGCAAAAAAATAGAGGAAAACAACAGAACGGGAAAGACTAGAGATCTCTTCAGAAAATTAGAGATACCAAGGGAATATTTCATGCAAAGATGGGCACAGTAAAGGACAGAAATGATATGGACCTAACAGAAGCAGAAGATATTAAGAAGAGGTGGCAAGAATACACAGAAGAACTACCCAAAAAAGATCTTCATGACCCAGATAACCATGATGGTGTGCTCACTCACCTAGAGCCAGACATCCTGGAATGTGAAGTCAAGTGGGCCTTAGGAAGCATCACTATAAACAAAGCTAGTGGAGGTGCTGGAATTCCAGTTGAGCTATTTCAAATCCTAAAAGATGATGCTGTGAAAGTGTTGCACTCAATATGCCAGCAAATTTGGAAAACTCAGCAGTGGTCACAGGACTGGAAAAGGTCAGTTTGCATTTCAATCCCAAAGAAAGACAATGCCAAAGAAAGCTCAAACTACCACACAATTGCACTCATCTCACATGCTAGCAAAGTAATGCTTAAAATTCTCCAAACCATGCTTCAATAGCATGTGAACCGTGAAATTCCAGATGTTCAAGCTGGATTTAGAAAAGGCAGAGGAATCAGACATCAAATTGCCAACATCTGCTGGATCATTGAGAAAGCAAGAGAGTTACAGAAAAACATCTCTTCTGCTTCATTGACTATGCCAAAGCCTTTGACTGTGGATTACAACAGACTGTGGAAAATTCTTCAAGGCATGGGAATTCCAGACCATCTTACTGGTGAGAAATCTGTATGCCTCCTGAGAAATCTATACGCAGGTCAAGAAGCAACAGTTAGAACTGGACATGGAACAACAGACTGGTTCCAAATAGGGAAAGGCTGTATATTATCACCCTGCTTATTTAACTTACATGCAGAGTATATCATGAGAAACACTGGGCTGGATGGAGCACAAGCTGGAATCAAGATTGCCGGGAGAAATATCAATAACCTCAGACATGCAGATGACACCACTCTTATGGCAGAAAGTGAAGAAGAACTAAAGAGCCTCTTGATGAAAGTGAAAGAGGAGAGTGAAAAAGTTGGCTTAAAACTCAACATGCAGAAAACTAAGATCATGGTATCTGGTCCCATTACTTCATGGCAAATAGATGGGGAAACAATAGAAAAAGTGACAGACTTTATTTTTTGGTCTCCAAAATCACTGCAGATGGTGCTTGCAGCCATGAAATTAAAAAGACACTTGCTCCTTGGAAGAAAAGCTATGACCAACCTAGACAGCATACTAAAAAGCAGAGACATTACTTTGCCAACAAACGTCCATCTAGTCAAAACTATGGTTTTTTCAGTAGTCATGTATGGATGTAAGAGTTGGACTATAAAGAAAGCTGAGTGCTAAAGAACAGATGCTTTTGAACTGTGGTGTTGCAGAAGACTCTTGAGAGTCCCTTGGACTGCCAGGAGATCCAACAAGTCCATCCTAAAGGAAATCAGTCCTGAATATTCATTGGAAGGACTGATTTTGACGCTAAAACTCCAATACTTTGGCCACCTGATGAGAAGAGGTGAATCACTGTAAAAGACTCTGATGCTGAAAAAGTTAAAGGCAGGAGGAGAAAGGGATGACAGAGAATGAGATGGTTGGATGGCATCACCGACTCAATGGACATGAGTTTGAGTAAGCTTCAGAAGCTGGTGATGGACAAGGAGGCCTGGCGTGCTGCAGTCTGTGGGATCACCAAGAGCCAGACACGACTGAGCAACTGAACTGAACTGAACCAAACCAATAATGGAGAAAGAGAAAGGAACACAGTATCATCAAAAGTCACATTCTTAGGAGTTCCTTTTGTCTGTCTTTAAGTTCTGACCCCACTTAGATTACCCCTAAAATAGAGGAACAGTATGTCCATGCAGTCCATGGGGTCACAAAGAGTCAGATACTACTGAGCAACTGAACTGAACTTTTGAGGAAAATAGAGGAAAAAACTACCCCACCCATGAAGCAGCTGAATGAAAAGAAAATATAAATTGACCTTTAAAAGTATTTTGAATTAAAATTCTTTGGAAATGGATGATATAAATATAAGATTGGCCAATGTTCAAAACTGTTTATAATTTTTCTTTATTTTGCTTCAAGTAATTATTTATCTCAAAATGAAACCACAGTTATTTGTAAAGATGATGCTTTCTGGCTCTCAACTTGGGAATATTTGCCAGAAAACAACTGAGGTATACACTCAGTCAACAAATACATCCACACACTGGGGGAAAGCAGCCAGAAGCAGGCTTTGTCTCTGTAACCAATCTCAGCTGAACTTCTCTTCCTCTAAGGAAAAATCTGCCTCACTTTCATTTCAGTAGAGTCTTATCATGTTATTTGAAAAATCTTACAAATTAACCAAAAGATAAACAACATATAACATAAATGATCAAAAAAATTATAAGTAATTTTTAAATGGACAATGATTATTTGAAAGAATGTTTAGCTTCATTAAGAAGTTAACTCAAAGGAGTTAAAATAATAAGAAATATGAGATACTATTTTTCACTTGTCAAATTGGCAAAAATCTTTAAATAATATCTATAAAAATATGTACAATGGTGTATATACACTGCTAGTATAAATTGAGCCAAACTTTCTGACGGAATATATGTATATGTACAGGTTTTAAAGCCTTTAAAAGAGTACATATTCTTAGAGCAACTAGATATCTAGAAATGTATCTAAGAAATCATCATGCTGCTGCTGCTGCTGCTGCTAAGTCGCTTTAGTCATGTCCAACTCTGTGTAACCCCAGAGACGGCAGCCCACCAGGCTCCCTGTCCCTGGGATTCTCCAGGCAAGAACACTGGAGTGGGTTGCCATTTCCTTTTCCAATGCATGAAAGTGAAAAGTGAAAGCTAAGCTGCTCAGTCGTGTCCGACTCACGGCGACCCCAGGGACTGCAGCCTACCAGGCTCCTCCGTCCATGGGATTTTCCAGGCAAGAGTACTGGAGTGGGGTGCCATTGCCTTCTCCCAAGAAATCTTCATAGATGTTGATATAGCTTCAAGTATGGTCATTACAGAGCTACATACATTGTCCAGAACTTGGAGGCAGCCTAGAGGTCCAACAATAAAGAATTGTTTCAATTTTTATAAAACAGCCATATGACAGAACATTATATAGAGGGAGAAGAATATGAATGTTCACAATGCATGAAAAGACTTCAACGCTACTTATTACACTATTTCAGTTTTGTATTCATGTACCCAAGATAATAGAAAACAAATCATGCTATCTGTGGTTATCTCTGGAAACTGGAATTATTTTGGTTTTTTATTTGTTTCTCATTGTTTACCTGTCTCTTCTATAATGCTCTTGTTACTAGTCTCTAAAAACAGTTGTTTGAGATATAATTCATATATCTAACAATTATGGTTTACTTCTACAATTAAGAAAAAAACCCATAAAATTATTCTTACCAATTAAGTTAAAGCTTTGGGAGGCAAACATTTCAATTAATATTTCATTTTGACTACTTTGACATTGAGTTGCTATCCCATTTTGTACATGTTGCATCTCAGAGCACCTTACACAGGGTCTTCTAGCCAAGTGGACCTCACTACAGATGGACAACTAATGACGTGTTCCTGCCAGAGTGCAAGTAATTAAATCTTGTTGGGGTCTTTGCTCCTTCTGACCACAAATTACACTATGAATAAGACAGCAAAATAGCCTTATTCCAAAGTCCTAAATATACATCATGTCCTCTTTCTGACACCCTGTGGGTCTTCATAGAATCCCCAGCATGACTCATACCAAGAGAGATGGCGTCCATTACATCAAGGATTTACAACCATGAAGAGGTGCAAAAACTTGGGCAGCTACAGACACAACTGAATAATTCAATTTCTAATGCTTATTTCATCTTCCATTAACACAAAAAACCTACCTTCTTAAATGTGAATAAAATTTGCATTCAGAGACATCTAAAATACTGGCCAATTCCTCACTGAAAAGACCTCAGTGATGCTAGGAACACTGAAGAGGGGAGTTGGGAGCAGTTTGCAAGCCTTTGGTTGCCAGGGGACACTTACCATCTGTGGGTCGAGGAAACTGAATGCTCTCGAACGGATGGCAGAAAGAGCCAAAGTGCTGAAAAACAAGGGTCAGTACAAGGATTAAGTGAAAGTGAAATTACACAGACCCAGAAATGCAAATCAATGTTCCTTAGCTCTCCTTAGAACTCGAGGTGCCCAAACACTCCATTGTTTCTTCGGATTACCTAGTGTCCCAAGAGAGGCTTCAGTGATTCAGAGAAAAGAGATGAAATGCAGAGGGAAACAGCAGGCAGTGGCAGAATCTAATTTTATTTGAGAAGCATCTCCACAGTGTATAGCGGCCTTCTCATAGGGGGAAGAAATGCAGTTTGAGGTTTTTTTCCCTTTCTCTGCATTGCTTTTTACTACCTTTAGTAGTCCACATTCAAAGCTCAAAATCAGAGGTGATTTTAAAACCGGAAGCTAACCAGTCATAAGAGTTAAGAGGACACAAGCTTAGACATTTGTAATTCTCATCTCCATTTTGTTCTACCAAGTTGCCTAGTGTACAGGACTTCCGGCTGCAGGTAGAAAGATTCCTGAAATATAAATTTCAGGTAAGTAACGTCATGGTTCTCATCTCTAATGGAATTAGGAGAGAGGGAGGAAGGGAAGATAGAGGAATGGAGAAAAGGAGTCAGGGAAGGGTCAAGAGAGAGGTGATAAGTTGTGATAAGAGACAGGTGATTAAAAAAAAAAAGAAATGAGTACAAATTTACAAGACAGGTAAGGCAAGGCGAGTTAGCAAAGGGTTACAAACATGGGTGGGGGGACAAAGGGCCCAGGCTTGAATCTAGGCTTCCAACTTGACTTCTGGGTGACTTGGCAAGTTACTTAACCTCCTGAGGGACTGTTAAGAGAGATTACATTTGGAATGGGGCGGGAGCCCAGCGAATCTTCAGTGACCACAAGCCCAACTGTCAGCCCCGTGGGTCCCAGAGGGAAGAGTGAGCCAGACTCCCAACCTCGACCCTCCTCTGTCCCCACACCTGGCCGTTTAGAGTTCTAGCCGCATACTAAAGACAGGAGACACGGAGCTTTTTAGTTGAAATCCTCGTTCTGTCACTTGCTGGCTGTTAGTGCATTAATTCATGCAACAAATACTCATCAACTGTTTGCAGTCTTCAGGTTCGGAACTAAGATTTGGTGAATGAAAATAGACATGGCCCTTGCCATCATGCACCTTACACTCTTGTGAGACAACCAGGTATTAATCCAATAATAAAGCAAATAAATATAAGATGAACACTATGGAGGAGAAGCACACAATGCCAAAAAAAGTACACACAAGTTCCTTGAAGAAGACACTACTGAGCTGAGCTTTGGCAGCTGAGTGGGTCTCAACCTAGGCTCTGAAAGGGATGGTAAGAACATTCCAGGCTGAGGGAACAGCTGGCTAGCTCAAGGCCCAGAAAACGAGGAGACTTGCCCCATGGGACCAGGCCAGGCGGGCATGGCACACCTGGCTAAGGACCCTGGTCTCTAACAGTGAACAAAAGTAGCACTGGAGGATTTTTAATCAAAAAAATCACACAATAATATATGACTTTTGAGAAGACCACTTAAGCTTAGTATTGGGACCAGATTTGAGGAGGTCTACTACAGAGCACTGGGGAGGCTCGTGAGCTGTCCATGGAGGGCAGATGGAGGCTGGGCTGGAATGGAAGTCAACAGGGGGTCTACGGGTGGACACTGTCTCCACAGGACTTAGAAGCTGGGTATCGAGAGAGGATTTCTCACTGGAGGAACTGGATGCTAAAATTTTCACTCACCAAGACAGGGAGCGCTGGGAGAATGCCAACCTGGGGGAGCCTTGCTCATAGGTTTGGTTTTTGACATGTTTATCTAGGGGTCCATGGGGAAGCCATTTAACCCCTCTAAGCCTTGGAATCCTTGTGAGGATTAAGTGAGATCATATGCTTGAATGTTTGGCACAGGGCAGATGCTAAGGAAATGGTAGCTAGTGTGTTATTGGGACCTCGGACAGGAAACATGAAGTAGCTTTGCCTCGGCCCTTCCACAGAGGGAAGCCTTCCACTTCACAGCTCACACGGCATCTTTCTTGATACGATATATGATCCACACATACATGATCCTAAAGCAGAAAGTCCCATCTGAGCAGAAAGTGAATCAGGATCCTTGGATCACGCTGGGGAGGTACTCACGTTTATTTATCTGCCCCGTTTTTTAAGTTATTAGGAAAAGTCAGGTTCTGAGACTTGTATATACAGTACTTTCTTATTCACCTCTTGCCTACAGGGGATGGTTCAATTGATGAACTTTTAGGATAAATACATCTGTTTGACAAATACTTCTTAAGCACCACCTTTATGTATGAACTATGGACTATAAAGATAAATGAAACTCATTCCTGTTCTTAACTCATTGGAAAAAAAAAACCTGATGCTGGGAAAGACTGAAGGCAGGAGGAGAAGAGGGCAGCAGAGGATGAGATGGTTGGATGGCATCACCGACTCAATGGACATGTTATTGTTTAGTCACTCAGTCATGTCCAACTCTCTGCGATCCCACGGACTGCAACACGCCAGGCTTCCCTGTCCTTCACCATCTCCTGGAGCTTGCTCAAACTCATTTCCACTAAATCGGTGATACCACCCAACCATGTCATCCTCTGTCATCCCCTTCTCTTCCTGCCCTCAATCTTTCCCAGCATCAGGGTCTTTTCTAATGAGTCGACTCTTCACATCAGGTGGCCAAAGAATTGGAGCTTCCACATCATTCCTTCCAATGAATATTCAGGATTGATTTCCTTTAGGATTGACTGGTTTGATCTCCTTGCAATCCTAGGGACTCTCAAGAGTCTTCTCCAATGGACATGAGTTTGAGCAAACTCTGGGAGATAGTGAAGGACAGGGAAGCCTGCCGTGCTGAAGACTTTTTGCATGGGTTTGCAAAAAGTCAGACACAACTGAGTGACTGAACAACAACAACAAATTCCTTGTTCTTAAGGAGTTTGAGGTCCGGTAGGAGTTACAGGTACCCAATGAAATGCCAAGAGGAAGTGTATGATAACAAATAGTGAGAAGCAAGACTCTCAAGTCTAGAAATAGCACATCTTAAGTTTCAAATTAAAACCTGAAACATAAGTGCTGCTTTCAAATGCTAAGCCAGTCCCATTTAAGTTTGGAGTTTGGAAAGCAAGCTGGATGAATATTGTCTCAACCCGTAGCAGAAGAGAAGACAAAGATACTATCTGGTCTAAATATAATAAACATAGACAGTCAAAATTCACAATTAGAATGAATTTTGGGGAGAGGGGGTTGGGAGATATTTTAAGTGCTAAATCTAAAGAAAAGGAGTATTTTTACAGTGAAAGATTTTCTACTAACATCAACTTAGAGAACCATTTGTACAGCCAGGGAAGTGATGGATATTATGTCACATGGTTGATACCCATGGTTTTTCCTCATAAAGGTATCTTGAAAAAGATCCACAAAATTCTGCCCAGCACTGGATCTGCTACCCACCTTCGTGTCAGTTGTCTAAAGAACAGAAAACTCAAGGAACCAGCTTACCTGTTAAGTTCATGTACTTTGTAAAATGTCCCCTGAAATTTAAATTAAAACCCGTTCTTCAGTAGTGGTCTTTCTTTTCACCTACATAGCAATTTAAACATGCCATTTATTTTCTGTCTGCCATGAGACTGGGAAACTAGGTATTATTAAACATAAAGCAAAGTTAATTCCAGGAGTTCCACAAATCAAAACTATCCCTAGAACATTTTTACAACAGGAAACTTGAGAGTGAGTTCCAGAGAGTCCACTTTCCAGATGGTCTCTTCCTCCAATAACCGAAATGCTTAAAGCATGAATATTCACTGAATTGCTTGAAGTCAGAGTCTAGACTTTGCCTAATAGGTTTAGTCAGCTAGTCTACTGAGTGAATCCAAAACAAGTTCTTAGTTTACACTTCCCCCTTTAGCAGGCTGGTTGCCATTACTCAGAAAAAGTAATTCCATTAGTGGCAAAATTAGTGTCCAACACATTTTCTAAGACCTGACTCACATGTCACCTCCATCACTTTCTCATTGGTCTTTATACACAACTCATTTGGAGTCTCTGTCACATTGGATGAAAATATTTTCCTGGTGCCATCTGCTCTTCAACACTATGAGCTCCTCAAGGGAAAGAACAAGGGGATATGTGTTATTGTGACATAATACCTGACACATAGTAGGCATAGTCAAGCAGGAGAAAAACTCAGAAATACATTCAGAGGGACAAGTGGTCCAGAGAAATAATAAAATCGCACCCTTCCGTAGGCATACACAGAGAGGAGGGCAATGAAAGCCACTGGGGTTATGGTGCCAGATCCAGGACCACACTGCTCGAGAAAGCTGGATACCAAGCTAAGCCCCAGGCTTGAGGACCTGTCCTTGCTGCCCACAGTCCATCACCTCTCTTTGAAGGTGATTTTGCCTTGCTATTTCCCCTTGGGTCTGGCTCAGTGGTCAAGGGGATGGAACAATTCCAGAAGCTAGGTGTGTTATCTAAGGCAAGTCTAGGCTCCCGCCCAAGTAATATAAACATGGCAGGGGCTTGAGGACCTTGCTGTTGGCTTCTGTTTATTGAGTTTTAATGGGGAGTGTGGAGGGGAAGGGTCTTAATGCCAAAGGTGCCTCGTAAATTAACAACACAGTCTCTGAATGGGCTACGTGCTACAAAAGTAAATCTAGTTGCACAACCCCCTGGAGATACACCATGAAGCTGCATCAACCCCATTGGGAAAAAGCCTTTATCAAAGCAGGAAGCAGGTTGTAAATTCTATACCCAAACAGGAGTTCAAATGAAAATCCTACATCTTTCGACTCGGAGGCTTTTCAAAGGAAATGTGTATCTTTGTAAACTCTCCTGGGAGCTGTTTTTATAAACATGATTTTTAAAGCAATCTTTTAGATTAGACATGAATAAACAGCACCAGAAATACTACATACACTATTTTGATTACTAATTTTAGTCTTCACATTCATAAAGTTAAATTCTTAATTCTATGTGCAGATACTGAGACACTTTTCTTCATTTTTAAAATCAAGAATCAACAAAGCTTAGAGCTCAAAGGGACTTCATCGGTCATGTGGTCCAATATACACAACTGGACTCTCTGCTTTGCAGAAGTAGAAAGAATCATGTTTTGCCCTGTCAAGAGATAACTTGTGTACTGACATGAATCCAATTAATAGGATTCGATTACAGATTACTGAAGACAGTATTTCCCCAAAAGTGTTTCCTATAAAATTAGAGATTTCTGAGGTAATATTTTTAAAGATTCTGTGATCAAATAAGTTTTGTAAGTATAGGACTAAACAAAGCTTTAAAAAGTTCTTTTTGTTTTGATTCTAAATTGTCAGACTTATCAGAACTTATCAGATACCAATATATACATCATGAATATCCAAGGAGATAAAGTATGTGACACGAAGGACCCCAAAACTCCTCTTCCCTCCAGGAAATATCCATAGTGTCAGAGAATGTGAGTGAGCAGTGGAACACTGCTTAGAAAAGTTGCCTACAAAGTTTTCAGCTATAATGAACATCTGCAATTTGTAGTAGCTACTGGTTCTACTCACAGAGATACAATGTAAATTTGTTCCTGAGCATTCCTAGTCAAAAAGCACTGATCACAAGATAACAATCACATAAAAAGTTCTGGGCATTCATCAGATGAAAACAGTTGTCCCAGAAGCACCAGCTATTCCTGGTACTTGAAAGATATGACCCCTCAGGTGTCTTCATAAACAGGATCAGGATGACATCCTCAGCGATACCCCCTTCAGTGCATAGAGTTTATAGGCAATCTGATAAGACCCTTTTCTGGACACGGATGGCATGCTGCCACAGTGCAGTTCAGTAGAAGCAGCTTTATAAGAAGTCACACCATGTTTCACATGTTCATAGTATTCAATGACTAACTTGACCCAAGACTCTAGCCACACTCTGCCAGTGACCAACTACGCCTGTCTCCAAGGGTGAATCATTTGCCTACTCAGGTCTTGAACTTGATGGCCCCTGCAGTCTAGCTTTAAAGTTCTAGAAGTCTATAGGGTTTATTACTTCATCTTTCAGAAAAGTGTCAAGTTTCCAGTCTTCTTTGAAAGCATGAATTCATCCTGGTAGGTATGTGTACCTTAAGTAGCTTACACTCATGAAAGAAAGGAAGTGAAAGTGAAGTCGCTCAGTTGTGTGGGACTCTTTGCAACCCCATGGACTGTAGCCTGCTAGGCTCCTCCCTCCATGGAATTCTCCAGGCAAGAATGCTGGAGTGGGTTGCCATTTCCTTCTCCAGGGATCTTCCCAACCCAGGGATCAAACCTGGTCTCCCACATAGCAGGCAGACTCTTTACCATCCAAGCCACCTGGGAAGCCCAGCTTATGCTCACAGGGGATGTATTTAACACATCACTAAAACCTTTAGTCATGATAATGATCAGACACATGGCAATGTATCAGAAATCTGGAAGAGCCAGAAGAAAAGAATAGAAGAGGGAGAATACCAAAAATAATTTAATCTACCTGAGCATTTTGCTTTAAAGCCTTAGTTTCTTTCGGAGACTGTAATAATGATGGAAGTAATACTCAATAATTTTCTCTGAACCAGCCTATAAATTCTCAGTAAATAATAATAGTAGTAGTAGCAGTGGAAGCAGCAGCAGCAAACACTTATTTGGTGCTTCCTATCTACTAGGCCTATTATGTGCCACACATAACTATTCTTTAAATGCTCACAATAACCCCAAAAGGTAGATCTTTCTTATTCTATTTCACAAATGAGGAAATTGTGATTCCAAGGGGTTGGATAACTTGCCTAAAATCCTGTGAATAGGGGCAGCAGATCCAGAACTGGAGCCCCTTCTGGAGCTGAGGTCTGACCAGCCCATACAGCTGCCTCTGGCACCTGCGGTCAGAGATGCCCCCTGTCTGCCAGGAGGCCTCACTCTAGCTAGATCCTAGATGATAGACAGAGCACCTTCCTCTTAAGTCTTTGCTGAAGAAAAGATGTTCTAAGAAAAGCAGATTCATAAATGCAGAGGATAATGAAGGTTTTAATGACAGATGATTGTCACCCAAATATTAATGCAACAGAAAACAATGCTGTAGCTCTCTTGAAAAGCAAAAGGTGGTTTTCACTGTGACAAGACAGCAGACATTACACCATCTGGGAAAACTTGACCAAACAGACCACCCTAAAAGGCAACAGAGTTCAGACCGCAAGAAGGCAAACTCCCCTAGGGAATGAAGGCAGGCCCTGGTGCCTCCCAGGTCCCCAGGCTGTCTTCCTCTTAACAGAAAAAACTGCGGATTTTGCCCCACGTTGCCTCTTCCTTCCAGCGCTGCTCCCTCCTCTCCAATACCCATTTTCTTGTTTGTTGCAGAGGTAGGAGAGGAACATACTCTGGATAGTCTAGCGCCACTCCAACATATAATCACATGCTGTCATCACGCATCAAGACTGATATCTCTGACTTTTCATTACCTATCATCAGAGGATCTCAAATCACTTTTCAAACAGCTACGAATTTCTTATGTACTTTCCTAAGAGCTGAAAGTAGAAACAACGATTCTTTGTCTTATTCCCTAAACTACCACCACGTCTCTTAAAATTCTCAATCCAAACACATACACACATATGCACGTGCAGAGAGAATTTTTCTAAATGGGGACAAAGCTATGGAATTATTCACATCCTGTCCTCTGCTCACAATAGGGTGGGCCCCTGTCATCTGTATACTATAAGCGTTAATAATGACGTCAAGTTTTCTGCACATCATTAATCAAGGGAGAATTCATTTCCTTTTGTGAAGTTCCCTGTCTCCTTTTATTAATATGTCTCCTCTGAGTCACCCCATATCCTGACTTCACAAAATCCTGACTTCACTTCATCCTTTTCTTATCTCCTAGCTGACTATGTGGTCCTAAAGTGTGGTGCTGCCTCCATAAAGAAAACTGTGCATTTCAGAATTGGGTGAGTTGGTTCTTCAAAGTTGGCTATTTCAAAGTGAATGCAACTTGCTTGGCTCTTGAGAATGAATTATAAACTCATCATGGTCATTGTCCTAATGGATATGGACAACTAAGAGGCTGAGTTTTAGCCTAACTTTCTTAGCTCCTGCTACTTCTCCAGTTTCTCCCCTACCTGATGTGTTAAGGCCTTGGAGTAACCTGAGACTGCTGCTGTCTCAATAGTCACTGTGGCTTCCTTCCAGAGCCCCACTCCCAAATCCAACATCCAGTCCCAGAGGCTCCACCTGGCCTAAGGGGCAGCTTCAGGCCATTTCAAGGTGGTCCCTGAAAGATAGAGCTGTGCTTCTTGTATGGCAGACCACAGGGTCAAGAAAGCCCCTTGAGGCCCACAACTTAATATTACCTTTCTTAAGAAGCCATTATGTAGCTTATTGTTCTCTACAGTGAGCAGAATAATCTGGAAAGCAGATATTTATTTCTTCAGCTGTGATCTATAAGATTTAAGGTTTCATCATCTGTTATTTCCCAGTTCTCTTTCTAGGAAAGTCATGATTTAAAGTTATTTCCACCCTGCTTTAGGCATCATATTAGACTCCCTGCCCTCAGACTTCCCTGATGGTGCAGTGGGTAAGAATCTGCCTGCCAGTGCAGGGGACATGGGTTCAATCCCTGGACTGGGAAGATTCCACATCCTGTGGAGCAGCTAAGCCCATGTGCCACAACCACTGAACCCATGCTCTAGAGCCCGGGAGCTGCAGCTACTAAAGGCCCTGGGCCCTAGAGCCACACGCTGCAACTGCTGAGACTAAGTGCTGCAAATACTGAAGCTCGAGTGCCTAGAGCCTACACCCCGCAACAAGAGAAGCCACAAGAAGTCAGCACACACAACCAAGAGTAGCCCCCACTCACCACAGCTAGAGAAAACCATTGCAGCAATAAAGACCCAGTGCGAACAAAAATAAAAATAATAAATAAACTTAAAAAAAAAAAAAGAGAATCCCTACCCTCAACTTTTCAGGGAAGGGGAGTGGGACTCTGATGAGACCTTGCCAGGCCTGACTTGAGTTCTTCTGGATGTCCCTCCACCCATCTAGATATACATTATGTCTCATTGTTTTTCTTCCATTCATTCATCCTACTAACACACTACTAACCTAGCAGGCTTCATGCTGGAGACAAAGTAACCAACAAAGCAAATGAGGGCCCCCTCTCTTGAAGTTACAGTCTGGAGGGCAAATGGCAAACAATCAGGCAAAAAGCTGCATTATTGCAGAGCTGTGATTTCTAGAAAAGTATAGGTAGTCACAGAGGAGCCTAACAGGCAGATCTAGTGGAGAATATCATGCAAGAGCATTTGTCAGCCCACCTGTCATGAACAGTGGCCCCCATGGATGTGGGCCACAGTCAGGGTGTGCTTCTCCTTGCCTTCCCAGTCTGGTGAGGATTCCCTAAAAGAAAAGCAATATCATTCAGGGTTTGCATCAGAGAGAAATCTAACTCAGCATCCTTGTTTACTTTGAGACCCAGAGAGCTTCAGGAGACTGCAAGAAGCAGGATCACCTGTCACACAGCTCCAGGGCTGTCCATGCAGCAACTTAATGACAGATCTCACATCTTCTAAGATCTTTAATTTGGTGGAAGAATATCTGAGCAACCGTGGATCTTCCAGAGCCTCTCTCACCACTTCTCTCCCATTTCTGCAATATAGAGGTGGGGGAGTGGGAGGTGCAGACTACTGGGTGTAAGACATGTTCACAGATGGATTATACAACAATGGGGCAATGTAGCCAATATTTTGTAATAACTGTAAATGAAGTATAACCTTTAAAAACTATACAAAAATAGAAAAAAAAAAGGCAGACAGATTTCATCTCTCCTCAACAACTCTCCTCAGGAAGCATAAATTCCCCTAATTAATCCCAGATTTTTCTAGCTTGGCCTTGTGATAGTGGGTGCCAGCCTGGATTGGAACCCTAGGCCTGGGTGTGATGCCTAGGTGTGGCTCATAGGAGTTCACTAGAGGATCCTTGAGACCTTCACAGGGACCGGGGCCCTAAAGCAGACCACTCACACTGTCCATGAGAAAGTTGTGCATGGACTTGACCCCCCAAACATGTACAGCGTAGGCATAAAAGGCAAGATCGAGAGTCAGACAAGCTTGAGTATGTATTCCAGCCCTACTACTGGTTAGCTACAGGACTTAGAGCATATCATTTAACCTCTTTGGGCCTCAGTTTCCTCACTCAAAAACCTCATGTTCTCTGTGCACACGCATGTGTATAGGTTAAATTAGATAATGTATACAAAATGATTAGCAAAGTACCCAACACAAAATCCTCAAATATATATGTATGCAGGTCAAAAACCAACAGTTAGAACTGGCCATGGAACAACAAACTGGATCCAAATTGGGAAAGGAGTACGTCAAAGCTGTATCTTGCCACCCTGCTAGTTCAACTTATATGTGGAGTACATCACGCGAAATGCCAGGCTGGATGACTCACAAGCTGGAATCAAGATTGTCAGGAGAAATATCAACAACCTCAGATATGCAGATGATACCACTCCAGTGGCAGAAACCGAACAGGAACTAAAGAAAGAGCCTCTTGATCAGGGTAAAAGAGGAGAGTGAAAAAGTTGGCTTAAAACTCAACATCCAGAAAACTAGGATCATGGCATCCAGTACCAGTACTTCATGGCAAATGAGGGGTGGAAATTGAAACAGTGACAGATTTTATTTAGGGGCTCCAAAATCACTGCAGACAGTAACTGCAGCCACGAAATTAGAAGACACTTGCTCCTTGGAAGGAAAGCCATGACAAACCTAGACAGCATATTAAAAAGCAGAGACATCACTTTGCCAAAAAAGGTCCAGTAGTCATATATGGATGTGAGAGCTAGACCATAGTGAAGGCTGAGAACCAAAGAACTGATGCTTTTGCATTGTGGTTCTGGAGAAGACTCTTGAGAATCCCTTGTACAGTAAGGAGATCAAACCAGTTCATCCTAAAGGAAATCAACCCTGAATGTTCAATGAAAGAACTGAGGCTGAAGCTGAAACTCCAATACTTTAGCCACCTGATGTGAAGAGTCAACTCACTGGAAAAGACCCTGATGCTGGGAAAGACTGAGGACAAGAGGAGAAGGAAGTGGCAGAGGATGAGATGGTTGGATGGCATTATTGACTCAACAGAGATGAGTTTAAGAAAACTCTGGGAGATGGTGAAGAAGAGGGAAGCCTGGTATGCTGCAGTCCATGGGACCACAAAGAGTTGGACACAACTTAGTGAATGAACAGCAACAAATGTATGTATATATGCATGTAGGTGTATACATATTATATATACATACATATTCTATATTATTGGAGTAGGAAATGCCAACCCACTCCAGTATTCTTGCCTGAAGAATCCCATTGACAGAGGAACCTGGTGGGCTACAGTCCACGGGGTTACAAAGAGTTGGACACAACTGAAGTGACTTAACATAGCATTCTATATTATATGCATATATATTCTATATTAGCCAAAAAAGTATACATATATAAAATAGCAAGTACTGATATGTGAGGTACTTGCTCAGAGTCACACGGCTATTAAGTGACACAGCAGTTTGCAACTTTGAACCTACATGATCTGACTCTGGCAGCTTAACCATTCTTCTATGAAAGTGAAAAGTAGAAGTGAAGTCGCTCAGTCGTGCCCAACTCTTTGCGACCCTGTGGACTGTAGCTTACCAGACTCCTCCATCCATGGGATTCTCCAGGCAAGAATACTGGAGTTGGTTGTCATTGCCTTCTCCAAAAAAAAAAAAAAAAAAAAAAAAAAAAAGAAAAGTGGGGCGGGAGGGGGAGGGGGAGAGCAGAGGAAAAAGAAAAGAGGAAGAACAAAAATGAGGAGGAAGAGGGGCAATACAGATAAAATCTAATGCAGTATTTTTAAAAGTCAAAATGAATGAAAAAAATCCACAATGAACAAAATTTCAAAATGTTAAATGAAGACATGATTCTCCAAAATCACTTTAGTAGTATCTGACTCCTTGCAACCCTATGGACTGGTAGCCCACCAGTATCCTCTGTCCATGGGATTTTTCCAGGCAAGAATACTGGAGTGGATTGCCATTTCCTTCTCCAAGGGAGAAGACATGATTGGTAAAAGTGATTTTTTTCTTTTTCGTCTTCCCTGGTGGCTCAGAAAAGGACATCTTTTTTGGGTGTTAGTTCTAAAAGGTCTTGTAGGTCTTCATAGAAACAGTGGAAGTGAGAAATAGATTTAAGGGAGTAGATCTGATAGACAGAGTGCCTGATGAACTGTGGACGGAGGTTCGTGACATGGTAGAGGAGTCAGGGATCAAGATCATTGCCAAGAAAAAGAAGTGCAAAAAAGCAAAATGTCTGTCTGAAGAGGCCTTACAAATAGCTGTGAAAAGAAGAGAAGCGAAAAGCAAAGGAGAAAAGGAAAGATATACCCATGTGAATGCAGAGTTCCAAAGAATAGCAAGGAGAGATAAGAAAGCCTCCCTCAGTGATTAGTGCAAAGAAATGGAGGATAATAATAGAATGGGAGAGACTAGAGATCTCTTCAAGAAAATTAGAGATACCAAGGGAATATTTCATGCAAACATGGGCTCAATAAAGGACAGAAATGGTATGGACCTAACAGAAGCAGAAAATATTAAGAAGAGGTGGCAAGAATACACAGAAGAACTGTACAAAAAAGATCTTCATGACCCAGATAACCACAATGGTGTGATCACTCACCTAGAGCCAGACATCCTGGAATGTGAAGTCAA